CACACACACACACACACACACACACACACACACACTTACAAGTGTCTCTATCAAAATGTCTCAATCCAGACAGGATTTTGACAAACATTCAAGGCAGGATAAGCACAGGAGAGGAACAGCTGAAATAATAAGTGTGCACACTGTATATCTAATAGAGGGAATCATTTTTCCCTCAAGAGATGTAGATCTTATCAGAAGTTTTATTATAGCTAGTGAATCTCACTAGTTATAAGGTATACTCCTTTTTTAAAATATTATTTGCATTAGAGTATGTTTTAGATTGTTTTAACTATTGTTAGCAAATATAGACACATAAAACATGTCTCAAAGACTAAATGATCCAACCTCAACTGAAAGAAATTTTCCAGATGGCTGTAGGGTGAACTTTGTGACCTCCACAGGAATCTTAACTACACACAAATCTCCTTTTTTCACATACACCCATCATAATAATATAAGCTCATTAAAAAAAAGATAATCACTTTGGTTTGTAGGAATGTCATAGTCCATTAGCACAACAGTGTCTAGAAGTCTGTGGGATCAATTTCTTGTATCTCCTAATGAAAAACTCCTAAGAGCTATTTCTACTGGTCATTATTCATATACTGAGCTAGATGGATTAATAATCAGATTTATTATAATGCAGCTTCAGACATTTATCGTTATTAGCTTGCTGAAATAATCTCTTTTGAAACTCCCCCTTTACCACTTGCCAGCCTCCTGGCTGCATATTGTTTAATATACTCTGCTCTTGTGAAAATTCATTCCTTTTCCAGCTCATCTATACCTACTATTGTATACAGAGTAAGAACTATTTGCTTTACCTGTATCTGCTTTATTTATATTTATACAGGTTGTCCTCAACGTACGACCACAATTGAGCCCAAAATTTCTGTTGCTAAGAGAAACATTTGTTAACTGAATTTTGACTTATTTTACTACCTTTCTTGCCACACTTGTTAAGTGAATCACTGCAGTTTTTAAGTTAGTAACACGGTTGTTAAGTGAATCTGGCTTCCCCCCTTGACTTTGCTTGTCAGAAGGTCACAAAAAGTGATCACACGACCCGAGGACACTGCAACCATCATAAATATGAGTCAGTTGCCAGTTGTCAGAATTTTGATCATGTGACTATGGGGATACTGAAACAGTCGTAAGTGTGAAAAACAGTCATAAGTCACTTTTTTCAGTGCCGTTGTAACTATGAACTGTCACTAAATGAACTGTTGTAAGTCAGGGACTACCTGTACAACCCAAGTCTCATTACAGATCAGTGTTTTAAAAAACAATGCTTTTTTTAAGTTGTGTCAAAATGCAAATGCATTCTCAGAAAGAAACTTACTAAGAAATTCTTTAGGAATACAGGTTCTCCAGCAGTTAATCTAATAAATAGTGAACAATGTTTCCTTTCTTTACTATTATTTTTAACTGAGGCCCAGAGTTTTCATTTGCTTAATCCTTAGGACGGTGCCACATTTTTTTTCTCTACTATCGTTTTGCTACAGCTGGCAAATGTTCAGTAGAAGAAGGCTGTTTTGCCAAGTATGAAATGGCATAATTTCAACTGCGACTGCCTATTGAACAGGTGCTGAACAGACTGCAAACAGATTGGCTGATTAAATGGCTTGCGCTATCTGGGGCAACACAAAACACATATTCCCTGAAAGTGTATTAGTTCAGCGCTGGACCATGGATAGATACAAATACAGCTGCTTTATAATTCTGTTAGGATCATCTTCCACCTCCCACGTACTCAGTCAGATTCCCTGTTGGTGCACATTAACAATCTCTTGGTAAAATAAATGTGTTAGCTAATGGCTGAATTTTAAAAAAATGAATTCCATTATTTTATCTCCTAGGATTTCTTGAATGAAGCACAAAGGCAACTGCTTGTAGTAGCAAGAGGTCTCTTCACCTGTTGTAGTGCCTCAAAAGGACAAGTCAACAGCATATCATGAAGTCCCCTATATCACAACCATCTATGTTGCAGATACATTAGTCTCTAGGTGAGAAAATGATAGGCCACATGTTTCTGAGATTCTTTTACCAACTAACAAATAAAAGAAGCTATTTATACAGATACAGAATTGGGTTACGTTAGAACTAATCAGCAGATATATTTTTAAGCCCAGAATACTTATAGTAAGTAGTTGGCACGGCAGACTTTGACTTAAAACTGTAACGGAACCAGCCCAACACAGTCATAAGTCATGATGATAGTAAATCAGGTCACATGACTGACCCAATTTTATCTTTTTTTGCAACAGTCATTAAGCAAATATCACAGCTGCTGAGTGAACCGATGGTTCACTATAGGCCAGTTTTGCTGACAATTGAAAATAAATGCTGGTTTTTTTGCAAAACTATAATAAAAATGTAGTCACATGATTGTGAGACACAAGTGCAAGGCGGTTACCAAGTGCTTAATATGTGGTTATGTGAGCATCTAGGGGAGTGACTTTTGTAACTTCAGAAACATGTTGCAAGTAACCCCAAGGGAGGTCTGTGGTAACTTCAAATGGTCACTAAGCGACCAGTCATAAATCAAGGACGATCTATAACTTAAACATTTATATCCAATTAGAAATAATGTAAGCATAGTAAAAACTTGTAATTTAAACTGCAGAGGTTCCTTATTGTTGAACCTTTCTGGATTCATTCTGGTTTCATATACATTGGCCATTAAGTCGGGAAGAATATACTTAGATACTTAAATAAAACAGTGACAGGCACTATGATATCATAATATCAGTATATTAAAATTATATATAAGTTGTATCTAATGTGATTAAAAAATAGTAGTATACACTTTTCATGAGAAATGCAATGCAGGGACCAAAAATATGTTTCAGATGGAATGACTGCTACTATTTATATTCTTCAGCAAAGCAGACAAACCATAAAAATCCATGGCACACATTTGTGCAGAAACGCAACTAGATTTCTTTTATGAATTCTTCCATTTTTATCTTAACCTTCATAAAGACATCTGAATGATTTATTTAGTATTTTACAAATTTCTCCAATTAATTCTATCCTAGCCTTTGTATTTTTATTCTCATGATTTAACAATGGAAAATGTGTATGTTCAAACCTTAAAATTCCCTTCAAGTGAAGAACTTTAGTACATACCAACATCTCTTAGATCAGTGGTGGCGTGCCCTCTCTGTGGGCACGTGCACCGTCACCCCAGCCCTGCCTCCCCCCGCCGCCCCCTCCTCCTCACCAGCAGCCCCCCTGGAGGAGAGTTGCCCCTGAGTGCAGTCCGCGCAGAGCAGCACAGCCAAGGGCATGGCAGCCAGGCAGCGGGACAAGACTTTGCCCTCGCGCCCTGTCACATGCAATAATGCTGCGGGGCATGGGCGGAGGGCATGGCCACCCTGGCGCTGCTGGCTGCCTGGGTGATCTGCTGTGGTGGGTGGCCATGCGGGTGGGCGGGGTGCAGAGCAGGGGTGGGCGGGGAGGCGGGGGCGGGTTTTGGTCACTCGGTCTCTAAAAGATTCGCCATCATGTCTTAGATAAACTGGTAAAAATATGAAACTACTAAATTGATCAAAAATGATAAAAGCCCTGTCTTCTGACTGCCTTATCCCCAGAGCAGCTCCATTGCAGTTCAAAACATATACCCCAAGCTCTACCAAGATACTGGATCTGTGTGCAAGTTATCCATGGCTGTATCCAGGTCTTTGGCCAAATTGTTC